CTAATGGGGTGCCACGTCCTGGCCCCAGCGTCCATCGTTTGTCTTCCCTTGGGACCTCCTTGCTCTGCTTCCCTGCGAGGCAGCCACTTTTGAGGAGTCTGTGGGACTCTAAACTACATGTCCTCTTATATTTTTAAATCAAGAGCATTTTGTAAAGGAAGACAGTTATAATATTCATTACATAATTATTTATTTAGAATAATGAGATTGTGTATGGTCTTCTTGATGGTCCTTTTGTAATACAATTTAATTAACAATGGAATCTTGTGTCCTTTGCTGTAGCATACTTCTGTGGATGGATACACAGAACCACACATCCAGCCTACCAAATCAAGTAGCAGACAGAACATTCCCCGGTGTAGAAACTCCATTACGTCAGCAACAGATGAACAGCCTCACATTGGAAATTATCGATTACAGAAAACAATAGGGAAAGGAAATTTTGCCAAAGTGAAATTGGCAAGGCATGTTCTAACTGGCAGAGAGGTAAGTTTTCATGATGCCTCTTAATGTTTCCTTGAACCTCTCCAGAGTCTTATTTAAAAGTTTTTCTCTTAACTGTTGTTGGGAGCAAACCAGTGTTGCAATATGGTAAGCACTGGGCTATTTATGAATGTAACATTAGTTGGTAGAAGTGTTTTGCCAGATAAAATTGATCTAGAAAAGAGGCACGTTGACATCTCTGAAGAGCCAGGTGTGCCGCAGATGAGCACTCCGTGGGTTCTGGTGAGCTCTTCTGATGGCCATTGTGTCCCAGCCCAGGAGCAGAGCTTGGTGGTTTTCTTATTAGCTACAGTTCAAGCTGAAATCTATATCAACGTGCACATTGAAGGAGTCTTGTTATTCAGATGTTTTTCTTCGGTATTGGATAATTGGATTTCTGAAATCCACTATTTTAAATTATTTGTATTTATGTGTGTAATAAAAATGCTTATATTTACACATAGATGGGTATTTATTTCTGTTGTGGAGGGGTCAAATGCTTTGTTTTAGATAGTTTAGCTTCTAACATTCTTTATTCTGTAATGTTTACTGGATCTGATTAGAACACTAGAAAAACTTCAACCAAAGGGTATTTTCCGTTCTCACTTTGTTCTGTACCTGATCTTACTGTCATTGCTCGTTGAGTGTAGCCTGTTCTGTTTGTTTTAATCCTGGAGCTGTTATGACACAGACAACACTAGGCAGAGACTCAGGACATTCCAGTCCATTTTGTTACTCTCCTATGAGGAAGCATGGGCCTCTGAACGCTTAATCTCCATAACCATTTTATACATGTAATGCTTACCTTCAACTTTATAAGTCTCCGAACCTGTAGATGATTGCTGCTAGTCAAGAGCGTAAGTAAAATATTAAGATTCAAGGTGATTTTTACCTTAAAAGGAAGCAATAACAAAAACTTGCTTTTATTGATTCAGAATCATATAAGTTAAAGACTTTAATCAAAAGGACATATTCTAAAGCTGCCAAGTTATCAAAACTTTATCATTTACTAAAGTGAGCGCCAGAGTTAGCTAGTATTACATCTATTGGGAATGCAGCAAAAGATGTTTTCTTTGTAAGTGTCTATTAAAATCTATATTAGCTAATATAGTTTAATGATTATTTTTTAGGTTGCTGTGAAAATAATAGACAAAACTCAGCTAAATCCTACCAGTCTTCAAAAGGTTTGTAATCCTTTTGCTATTTACATAATTAGCATGTAAGTTTCTATAAATTCGGTTGTCCTAAATTTCTCACTATGTCTAGAACTACATTTTGCAGTTTATATAAAAAAAACACATACGATATGAAGTATAATGTTTATGATTTATCAAGTAGTTGTTTGAAAAATACTTTATACAAAGTCATGCAGATTTTGAGACTCATTTGTCTCTTTTAATTCAGTAGAATAAAACATTATGTCCAGTGTTTTGAAGTACTCGAGACTCTGCTTAAATGTCTAGTTAAGAGTTAATATTGTCCATAAGGGGCTTGTTTTTTTGTTGTATTCCTTCTTCCTAAAGAACTCTAGTCTTTCAGTGAACAGTTAGAAGATACATTTGGTTCTTCAAAGCTTGAAAATATGCACCCACAGGGAAAGAAAAGAAGCAGATAGGATAGGGAGTCCCCCCGTGAACCAAAGCTGTCTCTTGGTGTTTCATCAGTTGCTTAAATGGTGGTATCTTCCCAAATACACATGTTTGTACTTTAGAACTGAAATAAATGGTTTTACTATTTATGCCAAATATGCTACATCTGTAGATAATGAGAAAATATACAGTTTAAAAAGAAAAAAATGGTATCTTAGTTTCATGTAAATATGACATAAATAACTTTGAATTCCTAAAACAGCGAGACTCTTAAGTGAACTGGTATGCTTAACTGGACCTGGTTTAATTCTGACATGAAGATTGACAATTTGCACTGGTCATAGCAAGGCCTTCCACATGGTTCATTGCCAAGTAACTTGGGTTATTTTGAACATTTCTGTTTAGAGGTCTGTTTTTATATTTTATTTTTTCAATTTAACAACTAATACAGTTTTTCATAGCACTGATATTTTTTACCAGTAAGAACATGAAAAGAGTTTGCTGGACCCGTCTCTAAGTGTGAAATATCATACTTTGTAAGACTCTTCTATAAGAAAATTTCTTCTAGCACCTATCTCAACCACCTTTGATCTTTCGTACACAATGAATCACCCACAAATGCGGACAAGTGGCTATCCTGGTGAGAACCTTTTAAAATCCATAAACTTGCCCTTGGCTCACCAAAATTTTTTACTTTTCCTGGGTTAAGTTGTGGATTAGATGGAATGACTGTCAGGAAGCATTTAGAACTACTCCAGCTCTGTTGTGCTTGCTGGGCTGCAAGGTATTGTTTCCCCTTCTATCTTTCCCAGGGGGCCCATGGAAGGCTGCATAACCATCCGTGAACATGAAGCTGAATGTTGCTTTATGTGAATAACTAAAATATGTAGTTGATGATGATACATAATTTCTGTTATGAATTCTGGTAACCTGGGTGTTAAATTAAGCATTGCTTTTTTTAGATATATGACGAATTGTGTTCTTTAGTCTGTGAAAATAAAAGCAAAGGAAAAATTAGAATTCACTAAATGTAACCAATTCCCAGTGTTGTTTTCTGATTTTTAAAAAATTCACATTTGTGATAATAAACTTACCTTTTCTGTTAAAAGTTTTGAAAAACAAACTACCAAGGTGTTCTTGCATTATAGAGCGTCCAGCAATTGACCCGACCTTTAAATCCCAGAAACATCTCCCAGGCAGTCATATGTGAACACGAAGTAATGGAATGAAATATGGTTTGTTGGTCTTAGCATATAATATCAGAATATGTTCGTGTCTTAGGACTGGTCATTAATGGTCAGAGACTGATAACAGATTGAAATTAAATAAAGATTATTTTAAAATCTTCTAAAGTATGAAGAATCTTACCTCCAGAAAGGTTAGGTTAAATCTTGTCCTGGATTTGTATCTGCATTTAAGTGAGCTCACTATTTTTTCTGCTTATTTGTATAAAGTATTTATAGGATTTATTGCCTTGTTTTGACATCAATGGTAGATATGATTAATCCACTATCCCAATTGTTCAAAACTTATAAAATATAAAGTCCTTAAAATTAGCTTGGTCTTTGGGTTTTTAATTAATAGAATCCAACATAATGAGCTTCCATAGTTTAAAATTTTTGACGTGTATACTATATTTATACACGTCCAGGCCAGCGTCCCGCCTATATTAGTATTTTCTGTAGTGTGGTTCATGAATCACACTAGTGATTCCCAGTACTCTGCCAAGCAGCTAGAAAAAGCACAATAATGCAGCTATCTTATTTACAGTTCACAAATTAGAAATATAAGTTTAATTATGATTTTTTCAGAGGTTCCCCAATGTTTAATAGATTGAACACAGTAGATTATACCCAGATGAAAAGTTCGTGTTAGTTGGCACTTGGCTTCGGCTCATAGTCACCAAGGTGCAGTTTTATCTCTGCTAGCATTTTTATGTTTGTGTGTATTGTTAATTTGCATTTTCTATTGTTGTATTATATTTATTACATTCTCAATTTCACTGGTCAACAATAGTATCTTTTCTTGGGACTAGCCCCTCTTGATTACATGTCCAAAATAAATGAAATGAAGTCTTGCCATTTTGTCTTCTAAGGAGCATTCTGTCTATATTTCTTTAAGATAGATTTGTCCCTTCTTCTAGCAGTTCATGGTATAGTCAAGATTCTCACCAACACTTTAATTTCCTTGGTCTTCTTTATTGTCTGTCTTTTTATGTATATGAGTAAATTTAAAAAGCCTTAACTTGCGTCAGGTGTACTTTAATCCTCAAATGACATAGTTACTTTTCAACACTTTAAAGAGCTCTTTTGTGACAGAGTTGCCCAGAGTTGCAACATGATTTGACTTCTTGACTGCTGCCTTAATGGGTGGTAATTGTGAATCCAAGTAAAAGGAAATCTGTACATAACTTCAATATTTCTACAGTCATCATGATGTTGCTTATTGGTGCAGTTGTGAGGATTTTGGGGTTTTTTTATATTGAGCTTTAATCCACATTGAAGAGTAGTGTTTGTGTTTCAAATTCTCTTCACTTTCAGTAAACAGAGTTGTATCCTCTGCATGTGTCCTCAGTGTTGTCCTCTGTTTTAGTACGCCCAGCCAGGGGACATCATGTCTCAAGCTCTTGTCAGCCCTACGTGTCTCTCTGTGTCTTAGGCTTGGGGGTGCCAATATGAAGTCTAGAACCTCACTCTCTTTCCTTTTTGGTTTGCTCCCATGTGGGCCTGGCAGGCCGGTCTCTCACCCCAACCTGTAGGTTTAGTGTTGTCCTCTGTAGCACACACTTCTAGGGAGGGGATCAGTTTGGCGCTGATTTGGTGGCCCTGTAGCCCGCTCTGTTGGTGAGTTGTTCCATGTGGTTACGTTGCCCTCAAGGTTTGGCACACTGGTGGGGTCTACATGCTCATTCCCATTTTTTTGTGGAGACATAGACAACACCCTCCCCCTGCTTGGGTTAGTGCCCTGCTCCCCCAGTGCCATCGTTTCCACCTTTTCCTTTTCTTTGTGTTGGAATGGCATGTACATCCTTGGGTTTGGCCTTTCCCTGTCCAACTGCCTGTACCTCAAGCCGTATACTGTGAGATACGTAGCTATTTTTCTATACCTACTGTGCTGGTTATACTTACCTCAGTGAACTCATGTTGTACTGGACCTTTTATGATTGTCTGACTTCGGTTAGCATAATTTCCTCCAACTCTTCCCATGAGATGATGTGCTTCATGTGATCATCATAGCTTTTTAGTGATGTATACCACTCCATTGTGTGATATGCCAGAGTTTTCTAATCCACTGTCTCTCGATGGAAATTTAGGTTGCTTCCAATTCTTTGTGATTGTGAATTGTGCCTCAGTAAACATTGGAGCGCAAAGGACTGGTCGTGGTTTATTTCTCACCTCCTCTGGGTATATGCCCAGTAGAGGGATTGCTGGGCCGTAAGGTAACTTCATTTCCATTTGCTTTGAATGTCACCAGATGGTCCAATGAGCGTGCAGCACCTGAGCTGCGCATGCGTCATGTAGCTCACCCGGAAGCTCTAGTTTCGTTGCCTAACGTGGACCCGCGACAATGAACCCTTTGACTAAGGCAAAGCTCCTCAGTGAGCCGGGCTTGGGATGGCCGATAAGATTTCCTGGCACTCTGAGTACAAGGACAGCTCCTGGATCTTCCTGGGAAGCCTTCCCTATAAACTGACTGAAGGAGACATCATCTGCGTGTTCTCACAGTATGGAGAGGTCGTGAACATCAATCTCGTGAGGGACAAGAAGACTGGGAAATCCAAAGGATTCTGTGTCCTGTGCTATGAAGACCAGAGGAGCATAGTCCATGCTGTGGATAATTTTAATGGGATCACAATCAAAGGACGGACCATCCGAGTGGATCACATATCCAACGGTCGGGCTCCGAAGGACTCTGAATGGTTGGATGAGACAAAAAAGAAAAGAAAGAAAGTCAAAGAGAAGCCTGAGCAGGAAGCCATAGCCGAGCCGCTGCCATCGTCTTCCTCTGCCCGCATCAAGGTGATAAAGGAGGAGCCAGGCTTGAGAAAGCACTACAGCAACAACTCCAATAGGGCCCCCAAGGCAAAGTCCAGAGAGGGGCGGAAGCACCAGCCCAGCTTCCCGGGAACGAGGGGCAGCAGACCCAGACAGGAAGGAGAAGTCCAAGGTCGAACCTAAGTCCTCCAGCAAGAGGGAAGGAAGAGCGGACAAGAACCAGGATGGGGACCGGAGCCAGGATTGGGATCAGGATGGGGACCGGAGATGGCATCGGGACCAGGGCCAGTTCTGAAGCACAAACACTCATCGTGGCTGGACCAGCATTCAGGGCGGAGTCACCATACCCGGCATCTGGTCTAAAGGCACAAGAGGCCCTGGCATTCCTGACCCTCGGCTTGCTCAGCCACAGAGGAGATTGGGAAGTGAACTGGAATTTTAAAATGGAATCTGATTCAGTAATACTTTACGCGTGTACTGTTTTCACTCTAGAATGTCTCTGGGGGTGGGGTGGGGTGGTTGCTTCTTTCCATGTATCCGTCAACAGGAGAGGGATGCAGGTCCAACAGCCATGAGTCCAGGGTTAGCCCAGTGGGGTCC